ATAAAATATAATTTATTTAATTTTAATATTTATAATTATAAATTTCATAGAAATAAATTTATAATAATAATTTATAATATATATTATATATAAATTTATAAAAGTTTTTTTCATTAAAAAATTTTATTAAATAATAAATTATTCAAGTTTTAATTATAAATTTACTTTTATATTAATTTGTACAAATTTTAATAGTGAATTAAATAAATAGTGAAGTTCTCAAAGAATTTATTTTTATATATATATAATAATAAATATTACTTATTATAAAAAAAAATTAATAAAATTTTTTATATTATATTTTTCCACAAAAACTTTTTTTTGTGAATTTTTAAAAGCGTTGAATGGCTCGTGTTAGATGAAGCAGACAAACTATTGGATTTGGGATTTCTTGAACAGGCATTGCTATTTATTTTATTTTTGTTATTAAAAATATTGTATTTATTGTTATTATTATTACTATTATTAATATTCATTATTACTACTTTCATTAATATATTTATTATTATTACTATCTTTATTATAATTATATATATTTATAATACTATTATTATTAATCAATTTAATTTTATTATTTTTATCATTACCATTACCATTATTATTTTCATCACTATTATTTTTATTTTAGTTATAATTATTTTTGTCACATCTACTATTATTAGTAATAACTTTATTTTATAATAGTTATTACTATTCCTATACTTATTATTATTTTAAATACTATCATACTTATTTTATTATTTCTATTACTATTATTAATATTATTTTGATCCTTATTTGATTATTATTATGATTATGATTATTAATGATTATTACTATCATTATTTTCACTATTAATATTGCTATTATAATTACTACAACTTTTTCTATTATAATTATTATTGGTTTTACTATTTTTACTATAATTATTATCTTTACTTTTATTATTATTTTAATTATTATTATATTTATTATGATTATTATTATTATTTAGATATTTTACTTTCAGTTAATTACTAATTATATTTTGTAAATTTTTTTAAACTTTTATTTGGCTTCATTGTAATTTTTTTTATTATTTTTTTGTGCATTTTTTTAATGTTATTTTTAAAAAGCTTGACGAAATTCTCTCGAGTTGCAGTAACTCGAAGCTTCATTGTTCTTTGTTCAGCGCGACCATTTCAGAAAAAGTTTATAAGTTTTTATTTTGATATAAAAAAGTCAGAATTATTAATTGTTATATATATAAAAAAGGAAAACATATAGAAATTCTAAATAAATGGTTTTATTCTAGTTATAAAAAAAAAGTTTGTATTATTATTATAGAACTTTTTATTGTAATATTACAAAACAGTAAATATATAAGAAGTACTGAATAAAAAGTTTTATTATTATTATAAAAGTTTCTATCATAATTCAAAAAGATGAAATTATTGTTTATGATTACGTATTCTTTTTATACTTAATTTTTTTACTTATTATTACGTACTTTTTATTTTTTTTTTACAAATAATAGATTATTAATATTTATTTTATATAATAAATAATAATAAGTTTTTAAAAAATAATAAGTAAATAATACTGTAATGATATAAAAATTATATATAATATAAATTTTATAAAAATATAAAAACTGTTAATCAAATTTTTATTATTATAATAAAAGTTTTTATTTACTACCAAAAAGTCAATATTATTGTTTTATAATAAAACTTTTTATTCTAAAGAAAAAGTAAGTTTATAAGAAATGCTGAATAAAGTTTCTATTTTATTTGAAAAAGCAAAACTATTTGAAATACTTAATATAAAAAATATTAGTTCTAAAAAGTTTTATTGTAGTAAATATAAAAAAAGCAAGTCTATAAGAAAAACTGAATATTAATTATTATGATAATTTTTTTTATTGAAGTAAATATATATGCGAAACTATAAGGAATACTTAATAAAAGTTATTATTATTCTCATTAAAGAATTTTTTATGGTAGTAAATATTATAAAAAGCAAATCTGTAAGACAGAGAGTCTGTTTAATGCTCAAGTTATTTGCTCTGTTAAATGTTATAACAAGATTAAAAGTTGCTTCTCTGTTAGTAATGTTAATACTGAATAAAAATTATTATAAAAGCTTTTATAATATATATAAAAAAGCGAAACTATAAGAAATACTGGAAATAATATTATTATAATATAAAGATAAGCAAAACTAAAGGAAATACTTTATAAAATTATTATTAAATCCTTATTATTTTAAAAAGTTTATTTTTCTAAATATAAAAAAGAGTATAAAAACTAAAGAAACGACGTAAAAATAAGCTTTTATTATAATGAATTTAAGGAAAGCAAAAAATAAAGCAACCAGGTATAATTATTCATAAAAATAAGCTTTTATTAAAATGAATTTTAGTTAAAGCCAAAAAATAGAGAAACGCTATAAAGATTATTATTATTATAAAAGTTTGTTTAATATTACTTATTATCGATGTTACTATGAAAGTTTTTATTGTATTTTTTGTACAAAATAAATTACAACACTGAAAATACTGAATTAAAATTTATATTATTTATAATCCTTTTTTTGGTATAAAAACTTTTTTATAGCGTATATTTTCGACTTCATTTTTTAAATTTTAAAAACTTCTATATAAAAACGTGAATAAAAATATTTATTAAAGCAATAACAATCAAAATAATAAGTTTTTTAACCTTTTTTTAGGTATCTTCCTAATAAATTTATGAAAGTAATAAAAATTTACATATAATTTTTTGTTTATTAAATTTCTGTAATAAAATTTAATGATGTACTAAAAATTGTGAATTTTTTTTTTTATGATGATAAATTTTAATGAATTTTTGAAAGTTTCAAAGACAAAGTTAAATAGAATGAAATAAATATATTTTATGCTCATCGGGTTCATTATTTTTTTTGCCGGTTTTGGCTGTATTATTTTTATTTGCCACGAAAAACAGTTAAGAGGTACCCGATTAATATTTTTTGGTTGATAAGAAAATATAACGAACTTTTAAAAAGTTTTAAGCATTTTTATTGGGTGTTTTTTTTTTTTTTAATTTGTATAAAATAATTTTTAAAAAATTAATACGAAATTACAAAAAGTAAATTTTATATTATTTTATTAGCAGCAATAAACCAATAAAAAGCAAACGATTATAATGTAGTTAGTATGAAATTATTCATTAAAAAAATTATTAAAAATGTTGAGAGGTCTTTTGTTCTTTATTTATATGACATGTTTTTATAATATTTTTATTATTAAATTTTTTGCATAAAGAATTTTTTAAATTATCTTATTGGCAGCATTGAACATTAAACACGATTGCTACAGTGTTAATAAGTATATTTAATATTTGATAAAAATAGTGAAAATGGAAAATTTTTAGTTTTTGTTGGCAGTAATGGACGATAAAAATTACCAGGTTATTGTAATGATAATTAGAATATATAATATTCGATAAAAATAGTGAAAATGGTTTATCTGCCACTACGAACAATATAAAATTTCCGATTATAATCATGTAACTCAGGATATAAAAATTGTATAAATGGTTAAAATGTAAATTTTTTATTAATTTATGGCAACAATGAACCAAAGAATACCCTATTAAAGCGATATATTTAAAAAACCTAAAAATAGTGAAAATATAAGTTTTTTATTTTTTATTGGCAACACTGAACTTTAAAGTACCCGATTATAATTATGTATTTAAATTTTGCACTGGATGAAAATCTAAATTTTTTATTTTTTTATTTGCAGCAGTGATATATATAATACCAGATTAATATTTTATATTCATTAATGACAATCATATTTTAGCGGAAGAGATGACTTTTAAATGATTTTATTTGCAGCAGTGAAATTTAAAATATCCGATAATCAATATGTTGATAAAAAACTAATTATTTAAATATCGAAAATGCAAATTCATAATAATATTTCTGCCACAATTAATATTTTAAAACACCCCGATTAGTAAAGAATAACTCTTAAGTTATGTATTTGCAGCACTAAATAACCTAAACTACCCAATTATTATTTAGACAGAAATACTGAAATTTTATAAATAACTGGCATCTATAATATTTTATTTGCGTAATGCATTGATAAAAATATAAAACCAATTAAATTTATTGAAAAGAGAACTTCATTAAAATTATTAACTTTTTTAGGTACAGGAATTGGCGCGCACTATTTTAAGGGATCCCGTTTCGGTATTTGTTGGCAAACGGTATTTTTTTATATGATATTAATGGTTGTTTTCTTTGCGATTATTATTTTTTTATTTTTTAATGTTTTTGTTATTTTTGATATTTTCATTACATTTTTTGTATGTAAAACATTTTTATTTATAAATTTTTTCAATTTGAGTTGAAGACCTGCACGTGGCTTTATAACTACTGTGATTGGCTAGTTTTATTATGCTCCATAAAATATTTATTATTAATCGAACAGATTTTTTATTTTATTATTAGACCAATCAATGTCTGCTGTTTTTTTACAGTTTCTAAAAATTTTATATGAAAACTATATTTTTTCATTACAATTCTTGTTTATTATACTCATAAAAAAAATATTTTATATAGTTTTGTTATTAACAAAACTTGATATGTTTTACTTTATATAATAAAAAAAAATATACCAACAATTTGTTAACAATTTTCTATTTTCATTATATATATTATTACTATTTTGCTTTAGGAACACGCCAACAGAAACTATAATGCAAGAACTTAAATATTGCGGTCGGGAGGACGGAAAATTATTGGCCATTCGTCAGCTTTTTAATACAGTTAAACCATTTTTAGATGACATTACGAAAATACTAATAAATATTTTTAATATAAAACTTTCGAATATTATACACTTTTGCATTTCATAGTAATTGGCGCACGAGTTATATTCAAAATATAAAAATGGATTGTTTTTATTCACTATATAAAAATATTTTCATTATTTTAAGCTTAATATTATTTATAATTATTGTTTATTTTTTGTTACTATGAAAATTGGATCAATAATACTACTTTTTTTGACAATAATGAAATATAAAATTAATTTCAATTTTTTGTGCACGTGTTTTTTCATTGTATAAAGTGACGAGCATTTGTGATTTACTGCAGGGTCTCGAGCCGCCCGTCCTTATATTTGTTCAAAGCGTTGACCGCGCCAAGCAGCTGTTTCACGAGTTGGTCTACGATAATATCAATGTCGATGCCATCCACTCAGAAAGAACTCAAGCGCAGGTTGGCTATATCTTTTTTTAATGCTTTTTTTAGTGAATCTTTTATTAAAGAATTTTTTTAGGGGTTATTATTATAATAATTATTTAAAACTTACATTAAATATTTAAAAAAACTAAAATAATTTTTATAAAAAGAAACGAGGAATTAAAACTCTTTATAATTATTTAAATATTAAATATTCAAATAATAAAAATATTATTATTTGGGCCTATTAAAACTGTTCATAACTTTCCATATTCTCAATAAAAGTTTATTGGCACTTTTTATTATGCGTAAAAACTTAGAAAGTAACCAAAAAATTAGCAAATAACTAACAAATTTTTTTGTTTTTATTGGCTAACCAATAAAAACACAACAAAATAATTTTTTTTTGACCTACCAGAACGGTTTACATGAAACATCGAGTGAAAGTTTACTGTTTATTATCCACTTTTTATAATATTATTGATTCTTGCTATTAAAAATTTATACAAACAAAATTGAGAATTATAAATATAAAATGTTAATCTATAATCATTCCGAAATACCAAGTTGACCAGTTAGAGGAGGTTGAGTTTATGAGCTTACTTTATTATTCAATTTTTGGTACTATTATATGCCTTTTTATAAAAATATTAACAAATAGAAAAAATATTGAGAAATTTAATAATTATATATACCTATAAACACTCGTAATTATTCAGGTTTATTGATCAATCAGAACGGTTTTTTAAATTTTTTACTAATAGTTTCGAGCTTACTTTTACTATTGATTTCTTTTTCTTACTAATCTGTTGACCAATTAGCACATTTTTTAGAAATTATAAAAATTTTAAAAAAATTTTTTTACTATAAATTTATATTTACTATTATAAATTAATAAATAAATAAACTTTAAAATATAAAATATTTTATCTTTTAAATAAAAATAGTTAACCAATAAACACGCTGAAAAGTAGAATTTTTTAATTTATTGGCTTATAAAAACAATTCTATTAAAAATTTATTTGCTAACAGTTTTGAGTTTACTGTTATATTAAGTTTTTGTTAATTATTGCTTTAAAAATTTAATAATTGTTTAAATTTCCGAAGAAAGTTAGTTAACCAATAAGCATACAAAAATAAATTTATTGTCCAATAAAAAAAAAGGTTATAAAAAATTTATTTTCTGATAGTTTTGTTGACTTCCTTTATTAAATATCCTTTAAGCTTTTATAATTACTTTTTATTTTCTTTTTTATTGGTTTTTTTACTTAATAAAAATTATTGAAATTTTTATTGAAGCTTATTATATGGAATTTAACGATGTTATTGGCTAATAGTTTCTAAGTTAACATTTTTTAATGATTATTTTTATACGAAGAGGGACTCAGTCATTCGAAAGTTTCGCTCTGGAGATATTTGGGTACTGATAGCCACTGACGTTCTTGGGAGGGGTACTCTCTAAATTTATTGGACAAAATGTTATAATAAAAATATTATTAGTTTTTACTCCATTGTAAATTTTTATATTTATTAATGCTAGAGCTTTGGTTTCTGCATAACTTTTTATCGAAAGTTAAATATTAGTGTTACAGTTTTATTGGTTAAATTTTACAGTAGTGATTCTATTGGTAGTTTTGCATCAAACATTTTTTTTATTTGCATTCGTATAATTTTCCTATGAAGTTATTAGAAATACTGGCCCTTTAATCGTATTGGATAAATTTTTATGAATATAAATATATAATAGTCCTCAATCTTTGTGGGTAAATTTTTTAAAACAATTTTTAATTGGTAGGTTTGTTTTCAAGAAGCTTTATTTATTTTGTATCGTATTTTAATGAATTTATAATATACTTCTTTAATTGTACTGGATAATTTTTGGTTTTTATTAGTCATTTTTTATTGAAGCAGTTTTATTTTAGTTAATTTATTTTGTATCGTGTTATAATGCATTTATAATAACTAGTAACCTTTTAATTTTATTAGATAAATTTTATTGTAAATATTTATTATTTGGTTTCGTAATTTAATAAATTTAGATTAACTATTAGTCCCTTAATCTTATTCAATAAATTTTTATTGTAAAATTTAATTGGCAATTTAAATAAAACCAGTTTATATTTATTTTGGTTGTGTATAGTTTCGTAATGAATTTAAAGTATAAGCCCATTACTCTAAATGGGTTAATTTTTTTTTAATAAAAGTGTTTATTGGCGATTTTGTATGAGAAAATATATTTCAATCTTATTGAATAAATTTTATATATTCTTGCATTAAAAAAATTATACATTTTCATCTGATTGGCTTATGTGTGTCATTATTTTTTTGTACAACTTTTTTGAGTTTTTTAGGAATGGATTTTAAAGGAGTCAACGTCGTTATTAATTACGACTTTCCGACCTCTACAGCCAATTATATTCATCGCATTGGTCGTACTGGACGGGCTGGACGGGCAGGTCCCCGGCAATCATTATTATCTTAACGTTATTTAAAAGCATTTCTAAGTTTCTAGTCATAATATTTATATAAAAATTGGTGATTAATATATTTTTTCCTTTTTTCTTAATTTTTTTTAACTTAAAGTTTTGAGAAAATCTTTTTACGAAAAATATTTTATTATTAAAGTTTTTATATCAATATTTTTTTATAGAAAAAATTTCATTTTTTTATAAGTTTTATATCTAAAATTGCTATTAAAAAATGCTTTCTTTATTTTTTTGTATATAAAAGTTTTTTATTTATTATATAATTAATTTTTTTAAAGTTCTATTTAATTTTTTTTTTTAATATTATAATATTAATAAACTTGTCCAAAATTAAAGTTATTAGTACATTTTTATTACATTTTATTGTTAAATTTATTACAAAAAAGTTTCAATTTTTTTATATTTTTTTTATATATATAAAGGCAAAGCCATTACTTTCTTTACTAATGAAGACTTTACCAACTTAAGAAGGTTATTTATATTATTGTTGTATTTTTTTTAGTAACATTTTTATTATTTATTGTTATTATTGTTTTCAAGGCAAAAAAAATTATAAAGTATATACTATGTTTTATTTTTATTACTATTATTATCAGTGTTTTTTTTATAATGAATTTCATGCAGTGAAGGTAATAAAAATAATATATTATTAGTATTAATTTCTTGCAATAAATATAAAAGTTTTTTTTTGTTTTTATTTCAATCCTTTAATGTTTTATTTTTATACTTAAATTTGATTTAAATGCAATAATTTTCTTTTGAATTATATTTTTTTATTTTATATTAATATTAATATTTTTAATTTTTATCGTGAATTCTTCTTTTTGGTATTTTGTATACATTTTTATTATTTCTTTATGTTCTTGAGCTTTTTAAAACTTAATTTTTTATTTTTATTATTAACATTTTACTTGTTTATTTTTATATTATATTTTTAATTATAATATAATTTTTTGGTTTTCTTTTTATTTTTATTATGAATTTTGTTTATTAATATTTATTATTTTATTATTTAAAGTATATTTTGAGCTTTTTTTATTTTTATTGATTTTTTTGTATTAATTTTATTTTGTTTTATTTTTTATTTTTAATATTAATATTATATATTACTTTTTTATATTTTAAATTAATTTTTTTTCTAATATTTCTAATAATTTACAATTACTATTTTATATTTATTAATTATTATATTTTATTTAAAGTATTGTTAATATTATTAAAGAATCTGGTGGTGAAGTTCCTGAGTGGCTGCTGAAATTTAAACGGCCAAAGTACGACTTTATAAATGATTATATCTTAAATTTTTTTTAATTAATTTCTTTTGTTCTTCAGTGCAAAAAAAAGAAAACAGTTAGAAAAGAAACCCGTCGATAGAGAAGACATCTCGATTATTCCGAATAAAAGAAAAAAATAGATTAATTATGGTTTGCTGGTTCGTTAATAAAAGATTTTAATTATTCTTTTTTTTTGTGTGTGGGTGTGGCGGGGGGGGGGGGGGTGGGAATTTATATTAAATCTCCTTTAAACCGAATAAAGGGAAGAATTTACCCACTGATAAAAGATTTTAGTATAATTATTTTTTTATAAAATTCATATTAAATCTAGAATATCCCCGATAATGGAAAAAATGTTTATTTTGATTTTCAGTTTTTTTACGGGGAGAAGTCTCGTTTAATTTGAATAAAAAAAGAGATTAAATTGGGATTGCAAATTTCATCATTTAAAGATTTTACAACATATAAACTTCATTATAAAATTATTACAAAAGTTGCAACTGATACAAATTAAAATATATTTTTATAAATTCTTTAAAACTAAACTTACCTTAATCAAGTTAATACCAACTTATAACATTTTTTTTAAAATTTGCAACTCATGCAAAAATAAAATAAAATTTTTCACTCTGATAGTTTGATGTTCTTAGCATTACCGTATTTCAGTTTTTTTAATAAGTTCTTTATACTAAATGTACTTTCCTCATTTTATTATAAATTTTATTATAATTTTATAATATTCGCAAATCTTATACATACCTAATTAAATCAATAATTTTGATGATTTGAAGTTCTTAGCGTCACCGCATTTCAATTTTTTGTAACTTCTTTATTACTAAACATACCTTCCACATTTTAAAATTATCTTTATTATAATTTAATTTTTAGAAAATTTGCAACTCTTATACAAATCAAAAATCTTAATTCAAGCAGATTCGAAATTGTTTATAACGATTTATTACTTAAAAATATCTTCCAACTCATCATCTTCCAATTCGAAGTTTGATTTTCTTTTATTAAAACTTTTCTTAGAAGTCACCCTTGAAGCATATTTTCCAGCTTCTCTTTTTCTTCGTTGTGCTCGCAACTAAAAAAAATTAAAATAATTACATAATAAAAATAATAAAAATAAAAACAAAATTAGAAAAAAGTAAATTAGATACAAATAGAGAAAAAGTAAAAAATATGTATAATATAATAAATATAATTTTTAAAAGTAAATAATTACAAAGTGTGATAAAGTAAAAATATATATTAATAAATTAATATAATAAAAAAGGAAAATAGTAATGAAATTAGAGGAAAAGTAATAAAATTATATAAAAATATATAAAATATAATACATGAAAAAAAAAAGGTAATTACAGAACTTAAGAAAATGTAAAAAAGACATTTATAGTAATAAAAAAATATTTACAAAATCAAAAATAAAAATAAAAATAAAACTAAAAATTGACAAAATTAAAGTAAAGTAAAAGTTATATAAACTAATAATAATATTATGAAAATATATGAATAAAAAAAATTAAGGAAATGTAAAATTGATCCCAAAAATTTGTAAACCAAAAATTATATATATATAAAAAAGAATGAAAAGTCATAAAAAATAAAAAAAATAAAAAAATAAAAATACTATAAAACAACTTTAAATAAAAAATTAAAAAGAAATAAAATATTGATAATATTAAAAAAAGTAAAAATTAGATGAAAAGTAAAAATATATGTCAACATATAATAATAATAAGGGATATATATATATATATATATAAATTAAAAAATAAAAAATAAAATAATTATAAAATTAAGAAAAAGTAAATTAATTCCAAAACTTGTAATACCGAATAAGGAATTATAAATAAAAAAAGGGAAACAAAAAAGTTACATAATTAATTAAAAAAATAATAAAAGAATTAGAAAAAAAATTTCAAATTATATGAAATGAAAAAAAATGGAATCGCAAAATCAAAAGAAACAAAAAAAATAATTACGAAATTAAAAGAAAAGTTAAAAACAGAATAATTACAAATTTTAAAGGAAGGAAAAAAAATAAAAACAATATATAAAAAGATAATTACAAAATTTGGAGATGTGTAAAGCGGATTCTGAAAAAGTGTGGATCCACAAAAACTTCCCGAAAAGATTCGAATAGGATTTAGTACAAATCGAGGGCCGATCTCGATAAGACTCGTTTCATGTGCTTTTCCGGACGTTGTTTCGCAGATCTATGATAAGGTAATTAAGAAATATATATTATAAACTTTTATAATAAATTTAATAGTCAAACATGCAAAGATGAACACCGAATTTGTAAACTAAAATCTAATATTAAAAAAGTAGTAAAAAATTATAAATTACAAGTAAAATAACAAGTCTAGAAATAAAAGTAATACTAGATTTTTCGCAGATCAAAAGGATAAATAAATAAATATAAATAAGAAATTTAGGACTGAAAAATTTTAAGAAAATTATGCCGAGAAAAGTTAAAAATGATAAAACAATGTAGAGGTTCACTTAAAAATATGAAAAATTAATTAAGTTTTAATCCAAAAAAGATTAATTTATAATACAAGTATAAGTAAAGTCTACTAATAAAAAAAGTTAATGACTTTGCATAAAAATAAAAATTAAATAACTATATAAAAAAAATTCATAAATTTACTAAAGAAAATTATATTTATAAAAAGTGACTAAATTCTAATCTAAAAAAAAGAAAAAGTTATGAATAAAAGTATAAAGTCATAAATTAATTCAAGTGTATAAAAAATTTTAATCAATAAAAATTAAAAAAAATTACTGAAGAGTTAGAAAGAAAAAAGTGAATAATATTTTAATCTAGAACAAAGTAAAATATCAAGTTTAAACACAATATAGTAAAAGTATTAACTTATAATAATATTAATTTTTGCAAGAACAAGATAAATTAATTAACTGTTTAAAAAAATCTTAAATTAAAATAAAAATTAAGAAAATAGTGTGAAGAATTATATTTGGAAAAAGTAATTAAAATTCTATTTTTAAAAAAAGTAAAAAAAGTAAAGTTTAAGTAAAAGTAATAAATTATAACAATAATTTCGCAGATCACAAATTAAATTAACTGTTTGTAAAAAATAAAAAACATGCCTGATAATTTCGAAACCAAATTCGATTTTCCACTATAGAAAAAGTAAACACGTGGTCGAAAAAAGGTTTACTTAAAGGATGATTGCAAGTAGTCCCAAAACTCTACAAAAAAAATAATTAATATAGTAATGTAAATAATAATAATAAAATATAATACTTGAATAAAAACTTCTTTTAATAAAGACAAGTGAGGCTGCGAATCGAAATTTTTATCAAAAGACAAAATGGGGCGGGAGCCCCTCAGGCAATTCCCGATTAAATTTAATTCAGCAGAAGTATGAACTTATATAATTTTATCCAAATTCAAAAAAATATTAAAAAAAGATTTATAAAAAATATATAAATAATTGCACCATTTTCTACTAAAAACTTTGTTGAAGGGCCTTGAGGAGGTTTAGAGATCCACATGTATAAATCTATAAAAATAAGCAATAACTGTAAGAAAAATGTGTGTAAAAAAAGAATTATGCCTTGCTTTTTGCGTAATTCAAGGTAAACGCAATTATTACAGTTTTTTAATTCACATATTTCGTTTATAGTAAGAAGACTTTCCTTTCTGTCCAGCTTATTTTCTTAAAAGTAAATATATTTTAGAAGAGCATTTAAAAAATTAATTAAAAGGGGATACCCTTTTTACTATGAGGCATTAAATTTCGAAGATCTTCTAGAAGATGCCGAGCCCTGTAATTTTTATTTTTTAATATTAACTAATTATGCTAAATAATTGCAAAAAAAATAAAAAATTAATTCATAATAAATTCCTATGACTGATGCCTCGTGAGCAAAAAACTAAAGTTCTTTGTTTGTTTATCCATTTTTAGCTCTATTAATAATAAAAATTATTAATTCACTTTAATTATAAATAAATAAAAATTAACATTGTGTTGGAATTTTTTATAATTACGAGGTAAAACGGAACGTTTATAAAAAGTCATCACGTTCGCATAATTGTATTGTAATAGAATTGTATTATACACCGACCACACCGCGAGCGGCAAGTAGAACTGCACGTGTACATTTCTTTTGAATAAAATTATTTAACTTTCTGGAAAAAATGTTTTGATTTTGAAAAGTAAAAAACTTTTAAAGAATATAAACGATTTATTTTGCGATTTATCAAGCCTCATCATGCCAAGGAAGTAAGACGAGTTATGGAACTGCCAAGGTGAAATATGAGGATCTAAACTTTCCTAGCTGCGACGGTAGCCCGAAGGTCGCATAGAATTGTTGTTAGAAAAGATTATTTAAAGCTGTTTTTTGTGCTTCTGGTATCTAGCCTATGGACGCTCTTGACAGTCCCTTAACCCAAATATAACGTGAATATTTATCTATTATAACTAACTTAATATCAAAACCAAATTATATGAAGGCTATAAAACAGTAGCTTGAGTCTATCAGTTTCATGCATTGCTTCCCTTTTAAGGCGGGACTTCTTAGAATATTTCTGACTGATATCGCAAATATTTAACCACTTCATCACAGTGTTTATTCCTTTAGAAGCCTTAAAATTTCCCTAAATTTCTTTCTTCCGTGTGAAAAGAATTAGCGTGAATCTTATAATAATTTTCGAGCCTATATTTTCAATGGTAATAAACGCCACCATACTTTCTGTAATTTTTGGCTCAGCGGATTGCCAATCATACTAAAGCAGTTGAGACAACAAATTTGCAGCTGCGTTTTCAGCACCTGGCTGATATCGCAAAGTCCAAGTAAACGAACCCATAATCTGCTTCCATCTGTTAATAAGTTTTCCTTCTGATCAAAAACAATTTCATTATTGAGCAGACCCAGTAAACTCTATGGCCCGACTCAACTACTAATTTACTTCCACTCATCTTAATTAGATGCATTAGCTAATAAGCGCTTTAGACTACCGCGCATGCTTCTCTGTCAGTAGTGCTGTCGTTCCTTGGCGAGTTATAAAACTTCAAACTTACAAAAGCTACATAGTACGTTTTCCCATCATAACGCTGCAGCAAGACTACCCTTATACCTACGTCACTTGCGTCAGTTTATAAGATTAAATCATTATTGACTTTTATTTGTTCTAAAAAATTCAGCTTTCTAATATCTTCAAAGACTTTGCTCATGCAAATTGTTGCTCATCGCCTCACTTAAACATTATGTTAATCTTTAAGTCTACTAAGGGTTCTAAGATGATAACATAATTTGAAATATACATGCCCCAGTATTTAAGCATTTATAGAAGACTACTTAATTCTTTCTTGTTCTCAAGAGGTTCCATGTTAGTAAAAGCCTGGATCCCCTTCATGCTCATTCTAGAACTCCTTCTTTACTGAGCTGCCTACCCAGCCACTTTACTGTAAACTCCACAGATCTACAATTTCTAATCCTAACTTAGTATTAAACTTAACATTAAACTTTTCATATCTTATCACCAGTCTACGCAAGAAGTTGAAAGATCCACTTTATTCTCACTGCATATCGGGACATAAGTGTATCCATCTTTCTGTCCAGCGGCCACAATGTCCATCCCTTTCTGATAATCGAGTAATACATTGATATATGAAAATGGAAGGACAGACCACTGCACTCTGCGACTATCTAGCATTGATAAAGCAAAGTAGCTTCCGCTTTCTTTTTTTTTTATCTAAATCTCTTGGTAAAAGCCTTTGGCATTATCCAACGTGGTAAAATACTTGCTGTTTCTAGCAGTCGTATTTGTTAGTTTCTCGTTGGATCGCACAACCTCGTAAGAGATTTTGGGCTCTCTGTAACTATTCTTTAGTAGCAAACTCTAAATCCCAGGTTTAGCTACCATATGCCCTTGTTCCCATTGTAATTGTAAGTTAATTATAAAAATTCTTATTCTAATAACTTCTAGCACTCTCGGTGGACAAAGTCCTAAACTTTACTTAATCTTTAATATGTGTTCCAAACCGGAGTGTATCCCTTTTCAAATCTATTCTTAGGGGCTTCGCGCACATATACGGTTCTCTAATTCTCTAATCATTGTTTGATTTACTCCTGCGCATCTCAAAAAAGATAGCTGACGCTCGACGTCAGTCACCTTTAAATCACTGAGTTTTCTTTCAACCCTTCAGAGAAACTAGTTTACAGTTAAACGCCTCATTATCGAGACATCAATACCATCAGGTAGTACATAATTCGCAGCATTAACTTGTATTTTAATCCTTATACCTTTTATAAATAGCGTAACACTTACTCTCCCGACGGTGTCATAACGCTATCCTCTAAGCACACGATATGCTTTTTTATCAGGTAAAATGTTTAAAAAATATTCCTTCGTAGTTTTATAACTAATATAACTCTCGTTAGAAAGCAAAGCGAGCCCAATTATTTAACTTACCAGAAACGAATTAACGATTCGTGTACACTTAGATGTTCAAATAACAAACGACACTTCAATAACGTAAATTTAATTGCTAGAAAAAATCTCCCACACAAATCTATTACTATTATATTTCTGACTTTATCCTCTAGTCTAAGCTCCAAACTCTTTTATAGCAATATAAAGACTACCCAAAAGAGTTAAACTACACTCACTAAAGTCCCTCTCCCACCTCACATTAACTTCATTTATTTCAGCTTCTAAATACTTTTAATATACAGAAACTGATTTCCCTAGTTAATTTATAAGTGCTTCCTAGAAAGTTCCAAATCAAATTGTTACTTTAACAGGCCGGAGATTCTCAAAAATAAACTTTGTAAGCGATACGGTATACAATATAATAACTAAAGATATACTAAAAATTTTAATTAATATAATATAGTAGTCGAAGGGCTAACGCGCTGTATAAATTTTTTGAAAATAGTGGCTCCCTAGGAGTACCTAACCAACCTCACACAAAATGAAGACAAGAGGATAAAAAAAGAGGGTATCAACACGAGCATGGACTGCATTTATATAAGCATATACAGCCCTCGAGCCCTCACACTATAACCACTTAACCAAATAAACAAGGAAGACGTGGGTAGTTGTAACTAAGTTGTTCTTTTTCTTGTTATTTTATGTTTCCTTTTTTGATTTTGTTTACTCCTTTGTTTCTTTTACAAATCTATATATATATTAGTTTTTAATTTCATTTTGTTTTTCATTTTGGGCCCGAGCGTGGAGGTTAAAGTAGACGAGTGTAAGCAACTTCGCCTGGTTTAAAAGGGATGCAAGGGGCTTACCTTAAATGCGCTTGGCCCCTCCTCCCCTCTTCCTCAAGGAAATAGCGAGACCCATCTTGATCTTCTCGCATTTCCTACTTCTTTCTTGTGAAAAGTTTTTAAATTCTCTCATGGTTCTCCCTTGAGCTGATAGAGCTATGCTATGAGAGAAGAGAATAGCGAAGTCGAGGCTTTTGGATTGTAGGCGAGAGGAAGGCCTTTTTCTTCGCTACAGAACAGGCTCAGTTTCATCATGTCTTGACCAAAAAAGCTGGCCTCCCTACGGAAATAGATTAGTTCTATAAATTTTGAAATGAGAATAGGAGCAGAAGAACCCTAATATTAAAAATTGTAGAGATGACAGTTAATCTAATAAATTTACTAGTTTACGGTTTCTCCTGGTAACGTGAATTATGCTATGAGAAACACCCTCTCTTCACCTCTTTATATAATAGATGGACATCATCTTTTATGGGCTTCCTACAGATTTGATTGGAAAAGCGTAAGGTAAAAATTATGATAGAGAGTGATTATATTTGTTGTAAAGTAGTTTATGGTTTAACCCATAAATTACTATTAAATCGGAAACTAACCTTCATCTACTTCACACCGTCTACAAGTTCGGTTTCTCCTGTAGGCATTTTCAGTTATTAAAGATTAACTTATAACGATTTAGTGTTGTAAACTCGGTCGTTTAATACAAACTATGCTAAGTCTTAAAGCAAGAGAATAGGGTCATTTTAAGTAAATTTAATATCAGTCTGGCCCTATCATATCTAATAAAGTTTAAAACTTTATGCGTTTCTGGTTATCTTTACCCTTTAATTTATAAAAAATATATCTAAACAAAAGGGTTTAGCTCGGGCTTTCAGTTAGCCTTCTAAAATTGTTACCCCTTAGAAAACGCTATCCTAAGTAGTAGCTATGAGTAGCATAAAACAAAATAACTAACTTAGGAGAGAGTATTATACAGTACTTAGACTGCTTTCTTATACCGCTAGAGAGTTACACCTAAAGTAGGAGAGCACAATTTTTTTTTGATGTTCTTGTAAGGATCTCTTTGTCTCCATTAACAGTTCAAGATAAGAGCACGCTTAAGTAAATATTCTCACGGTCAAAAAGAAGTAATGAATTAAGCTTAATTGTGGACTACAAGAAAAAAAAATTTTCGAACTGTTTAGAAAAAGTAACTACTTTTCCTCCTTGATAATTAGTACTTTTTTAATAAAGGAGAACTTTTTCACATGAATAACTCTAACAGAATTCGTAACTGGTAATTTCTATTAGTTTTAAAAACGCTTTAGTTTTTAATGAACTTTTCCATGGACATCATATCAAGGAAAGTTTAAAATATTTAAGCAAAAATTTTTATAGTCAGCCCAAAGCGTTCCTTATTTTGTCAGGGGATGATAAAAATTGTCCCTAATAAGGTCTCGTGTTTTAGGGCTTGGCGGTGTCGCATAATGTTAAACAGCTCTATTAACTTTAATATTTACGAATTTTTTTTGGTGGTTCTTCACATAATTCTTACATAATTCGACCCATCTTCATTAAGATAGCTGGAAAGAAGTGAATTAAATCTCATAATAAGATATATTTTTAATAGAAATAATTATATTCATACTTATAGCAACATGAAGTTCCTTCTTTCCATAAAATTATGTTTTTAACGTAATTAACAGCTGGTTTAGTTTTTTTTTTGTAAAAATTAGTCAGGGATGAGTTTTTTAATTCATTTATAGTCTTTTTTAACTTTACTTTTACGGCCTGCTTAGATATTTGATCATTTTGTTTAAAGTAGATAATTCCTCCCCTTTACCAAAGGTTTATACTTCTTATTCAAGCATATATGATCCAGTTTGACCAAGCTCTTCTCGTAAATTTTTTCAAACTTTTTTTGAAGTGGTATTCTTATCAATTTTTTTTGTTAGGATCACTAATGCTTTTTTTGAACGTTTTGTAGAGGACTACGAAACGCTACATAAAAAATACGATGAATAGGATACATTTCTGTTGCATACATACTTCTAAGTGGTGAAAAATTAAATTATAAAAATTCGCATAGCTACTAACGACTAATAAAAACTAAGTTTAACATAACGCGCCTACTACCTCACTTTTATTTTACGAGCGTAAGGCGTAAAGCGATTAGGTATAATATATTGGTGCCTTTTTTTTAGTTCCGCATAGTTGGCGTGAGCGTAGACAATTGTTCGGCGCAATTTAATTCAAAAAGCTTAATCTTGCTATTCTACATTTGTTTAATTTGAGGCTAATTAATAATAGGAATCTCAATTAATTTTTTTTTAATTTGTATCCATGTATTAAAAAATTGAAAAAAACTTGAGAGTGTCTGTTTAATTTCATTCAATTTAATAAAATTGAGAATTTATTCTTATTGGCCCGAAAAACGACGTTTTTGATTGGTTAAAATCCTCTTTTTTGACTGACCTCTTTTTGGGTAGTTTTTTTTAAACTTATATAATATTGTTGTCTTAAATATATTTGCTATTTTTTCTTAACTATTCTTCTAGTTTTTGTGCTGGATAAATAAGTTAGTTAAAATAATTCCGTATGACAGGGCATAGAAATTTTACCTTCCTTTTATAGATATATGAGCGATAATTTCCTTTTTTTAAAACTTTATATTCTTTTTTCTGTTAAGTTTACTTGTGTTTTTACCTTGACTTTGCTTAAAACTGTCATGTACTGAACATTCAGAGCAACTAATTTAATTAGTTCTATTGTTAATAGAATTTATCTTTTAATCTTCTAATATATAGACTAATATATTTTATAGTTGAGTAGAAGTTTTACATACTACCTACACTTTACACAGATGACGTTACTGTCAAATGTCTAATTTATCCTTTTAACGATGAGGTATTAATTCGTCACAAGAATTTTATTATAGTATGTCCTTTTTTGCGAAAAAAATAAAAACGATAAACCATTTTTTAATAATATATATTCTAAATGTAATTATATTTAAGTTATTTCTAATAAAAAATGTAACTTTTTAACGAAAACTTTTGAGATGTTTTGCCAGCTTTACATACGACTTAAAATCAGTTTTTCTTAGTATAAGCTTTTCATCGCTCAACTATTAAATGATTAATTAATGTTTACGGTATTGTTATTTTTCCAAGAAGCATTATTGATAAACAATATAATAAATCTTTATTAGAGCGCATACCTGTCTGTTAAAATTACTAAAAGAGGGCTTCTATCTCTTTTTAACAAATAGTTTCCACCCATTTAATCAGTTGTGTTAACTCTTTCCATAGATTCATTTTTATTTATATTAATTTCAATAATATTAATTTATCCTTGAAATAATATATTTTTTACTAATGTCAAGTTAGTCGTTTACCTTCTTAGTCTTTTCTACTGATAAAAGAAAACTTGAGCGTTCATGTATACTTCATAAAAGGAAGCTTAAGTAGTTCTTATAGTGTCAGGTTCAACAAATAATTTATTTACCAAACTTATGAAAGCATAAAGTATAACAAATGCAAAATGGATAAAGAATCTCTTGCCTGTCAATAAAGTAACTCACCAACCACCCCTAGTAGCTACTCTATTTTTTGTAAAGACTACATAAAATAGAGCTACTTTAATTTTGCGGTCTGCTGGTTTAGTCAACTTAAGACTATTTTAAAGGAAAACCATCCCTTTGTTGAAACTCTTAACCTTCGATGGCGTAAAGACCCCGTGATGCTCTCGAGCGAGATAGTTGTAAGATTATCAACAATATTAAGACTGGTGGCAAAGGTCCAAGGCAGCGACTAATGCGTAATAACTTTACCATGCAGCGAGAGCAAGCCTTTGTTATGCAAAAAACGGCGATTGTATGTATCTTGCATTCTACAAACAATTACACGCCGCCAGCTGCTATTCCCACTTTAAGTGCGACAAAACAAGTTGCTGCATGTGATGACAAACGCATGCAAAAAGCTCCTTACCGGACTTCAGCTAACTCCTTAAAGCCGTCTTCCAACCAAAAGCTATTGCACTTTAGTACCGGCTAATTAAACACGCTAATCGCTTGCTGGTGAGCAAGCTCATTTACGGGTAATGAGGCGAAATCACGTTTCTCTGTCCACGGGACGCGCTTTAAGAGCTAGATTTTGTTTCGCAGATAAAAAAATATGAAGAAACCTTATCAATCTAAGGTTAGAAGGTAGTTGACTGCGATCCTTCCTGATCAGCTAGAGTATTCGAAATTTGTTAACTCT